AAAAAAATTACGTATATTATGGTTTTTGTATTTGAATTTGCCGCTTTATATAGATTATATTAACGTTATGTAGCTCATTCAGTACATATACAGACTGTAGTGGATACATATGAATGAATATCGTGCATTTGCTGCTGTACGCCAGAGCCTCATTTTATTATACAGGGTGTCTCACCTAAAGTGAACCAATAGATAACTTTTTTATTATGAGATATAGAGTTTACTTCTTATGGGACACTACCCTTTATTTTAAGATTTTTTTTTGTGGTTTCGAATTTTAAAAATATGTTCGCCATTTTCCAATATGGCTGACAACTTTGTTAGTCCTATGGAATACCCTGTATTTTATGATTGTTTTAGAATGTAAACGCACAACTTTTAAACCTTTTTATTCTTGACATTTTTCTCTAAAGCTACTTGTTTATGAGTTACATCGAAAAAGAAATGGTTTGTGAGTACATCCTGCATCCTCACAGCTCATAAACGTAAGTTTAAGAGCGGAAATACAAAGAATAAACAAGTTTTCAAATCACATCTACATTTAAAAAAAACCATAAAATAAATTGTTCCAATATCAAAGTAAGCTAGCATTTTTGAAAATGGTGGCCATTTTTAAAACAACAAAATCAGTATTTTTTAACGTATTTTATATATTTTTTTGAACGAGGACTTATATGTGAATTATTTATTCTTTGCACTTTCTCCCTCAACTTACTCGTTTATGAGCTACAGGATGCCGAATGTACACCACAAGCCTTTCTTTTAGATATAACACGCTGTAACTCCTAAATGGGGTAGGTTTAGAGAAAAAATGTCACGAATAAGAAAATAGCTTTTAAATTGTAAAAGAATACTAAAATACAGCGTATTCCATAAGAAATAACAAAATTGTTGGCCATATTGGCAAATTGTGGATATATATTTTTTATTCGTAACCATCCCTAAAAACATTTTTTACAATTATTAAAAGGGGTCGTCTAATAAAAAGTTAACACTATATGGAAAATAAAATTTGTGTATGTTCACTATGTAATCTCAACCGGGATGAAACGTGTACCCTTTTATAGCAGAATCTACAATTTAAAAAAAGATACGTCAGTTTTGGTCTAACAAGTTATATTTAAATGAATATGAGTTTTTTTGAATTTTTAAATGGCAAAGATTGGCGGGCACTTGGAAATTATCTTAAAGAGGCGTGGAGTAAAGGGTGGGAATTGATAATGGAGTATAATTATTAAATTAAGGAATTGAGATATCGATACAAAAATTGGAAAAATCTATGTAATTTTAAAAAATTATAAAGTATTGTTTGTTAAGTATCTATCAAAGTAAATTATAAAAGTAACTGGTTTGTTTTATGAATTATTAACTGTTTGTAGAAAAAATTCAGATTCTCAGTAGGCTACATTTAAATTTTATTATTCATTCAATTGTTATCTGATCTTTATTAGTATGTAGTGCTATTTGTGTATGTTCTGTAGTGGAAATCAGTTTATTTTATGAATAATTGTATGTGATTCATGGTATTTTTTTAAACGGTTTTAAAATATTTTAAAATCAGTGTGTCTTACACAAAACAGACGGTCTTTGACCATTGTTCTTTGCATTTAAATAAAAAACACTGTATTGATATTTTATTACAATGAACACATTTTCTTCTTCTTCATCATCTTTCTTCTTCATCATTTATTCATCTAATAATTCTTTTTGTAGATTATCGTAACGCAAAATGACTAATAAAAGATTGCGTTATTATCCTTACCCGTTTTAAAGTTATAGCTTAATTTCTAAGAGACTGTAAATTTATCTAAAGGGGGGGGGGGGTAGAGGAAAGCACAAAGGGGTAGGAGTGGGGACTTTTGGGAAAATGATCATCTCAACATGGTCTAACAGCATAGAAAAATTCAGCTGTCCCATAGTTACATACAACATCAAACCTATATCGACTGTGGGCTACGTACCGTCCATGCGCGCCTCGGTACTACTACGAATTTTCCACGTTTACTCTTACTAAAATCAACGTAGCTCTGTTGTTTTTGCACGGATTTCTTTAAACTTGGTGTTGTTGTACTACTTGTTAGTTTTTCTAACCATAAATAGTTTTAACATGCCCTAAACAAGCGCAATATTTCCGATATTTCATTTTTAAGTATTTTTAAATTTTATTTTTTGCAATAAATGTTGATTAGCGCCTAAAGTATAAGAGATAGAAGAAAGGTTGTAATAACCTTTTTAAAAGACAATATATTTAGGCGTAGATAGACGCTTAATTCACCTTTCTATCATTAACCGTTTGTGAGTTAGACGCAGAAACGTAAACCGATGACCCGCGCAACTTCCCCCCCTCCCCCCCGAGTTGTGACCACCCTAGAAATGCGACATCATCGATTTTGTTCATCTACTAGATGTCCCAAACAATAATCAAAAGTCAAATTTTGTCAGACTTTCAGTGCATACTCAACCCGTTTAGCGCCTGGACTATAATACTTATAAAGTCAAGTATTTATTTTAACTCTGCGGAGCAGTTTGGGTCCTCTAGTGTGGATAATACTTTTTAATAAAACAGCTGTTAGTTTTAAAATTGTATTTTAAACAACACACATTTATTGGGAGTTACTGAATAGTCCAAAAGAAGTATTTGCAATGTTATTTTCGGATTTTAAAATTGATTTTCTTCTGTATCATGTCATGTGTTGCAATATAAAGTTCCATTACGAAATCAGTGGAAAATCCTTTTATCACAATAACTCTAACAATTGTTTCTTATTGAACTGTCTTATATCTATTTTACGGGTTGGTGTCTGGCTTTTTCACACCTTTTCCATATATTTTATCATATTATTCTAGACAGATCATCATAGGTTCATGAGATTATTGTCATACATGCTTTCAATCATTGGAAAAATCTTCGATTGTGTAATACAATGCAAAATAATACAAGTGCCACGGTGCCCATTTGAGCCGTGTCTATATTTTGTTAAATTAATAGTGGTTTACAGCAACTGGATAAAACATTTTACATTATTTATGTAGAAATATGTGCATGATTTAGAAAGTCATTAAGCTGGAAAACTGCAATATACTGCAGATTTTTCAGAGAGGTTACTTCGATGTATTCATTCAGCTTAGTGAAAACATAATATAGATATGTATACAAATAAGAACTTGTACTCTTAGAGAGCCTTTGAATGTTATTATACTAACGAAAAGGGTTGTGCATGTTTACTTGCGCTACTCAGCAACAATCACCATTTAATTTATCTCTAAAATATACATTCTTAAAGTGCACTGAGCAGCAGCCTAAAAAATCTATGTAACTTACCCATGTGCTCTTATCGTTTCCCATAACGTCCAAAAACAAAAACCTTGCCTAAAATAGTACCTATCTTGACAAACTATTTGCAGTGGCCTATATATTACGGACCGTAGCCCACTACGTTGATAACATTATTGAAAATAACACGACATTTTGGCTGTAAAAATGGCCCAATGCGTAAATAATGTTTAAGCAGCTACTGTCATGACAGAAAGGTCATATTCCTTTTAAACTAGATCACATCATCCTTTATAAGATACGATGATTAACAATGCATGTAAACGTCAATATTTACGTAACAACCAATTTACATTATTTTTTGCTTTTTGGAAATGCCACATTACTATGTCATTCGCATTTGTTGCCAATGAAGCTGCACGACCATATAAATGAGGAGGCCCCTAACAGTTCAAGAATAAAAGCCAACTTCACTTCAAGTAGCCTATATTCCACTACACCTAACATTCCGTTGAGAGATTATATTGAAAACTTTATGTAACTGATAAGGCTGAGACAACTAACTGACATCCCCCATGTCAAGGAATTCCAGCTTTAACAGTAACCCCACAACCAATTTCTCAAAACTATGATAGAGGGTTATTCATTGGCACAAAAGTACGATATGAACTGACACGACGTGACAAAGGAAAAATCAAACTTACACTGTAACGGATATACCTCCCTTTGAAGTTAGAACGAGTCTTCCCAACAGATTTTTTTTTAAAATAAAATCATAGATTAATCTGCATTACATTGATGAAATCACAGAAGTGTTTAACTACAAAAGATCCACCAATACGAGTTCAATACTATTGAAAGGTTCTTCCAAAGGAAGAGATACCAGATAACATACTAACAACTCTAATGACGTACAGTATGGGAAATATTTTATTCATTGAATGATCAACCATATTTGGTAACTAACGCAATTAATATCATTATTGTTTTTACACTTATTAATCTTTAAACAATGCTAAATGATCAAAATACGTATAATTTCACTCAATTTATCGCAGTTAGATGAATTAGCGTAAGCCTTGAAAGTAACCGTCGATTTCGATCTCAAAATCAAACCTTATTAAGATACTTCTCGAATTTGTTTAAAGGAATACATTTAATTTGTTGAGGGGACATTCTTTTGGAATTGAGTTTTTAGAAATTTAGATTGATTTGTTTTTTGTTACAGAAATAAATTTTTATGAACTAAATTTTGTATTTCCTTGATATATTTAGATTCTATAGAATGTCCCAAATCCGATGGTGTAATATTATATGTTTTGGTCAATAAATAGGCGTTATACAACTGTGAGAGTAAAATGCTGCAAGGAAGTAAAAAACTGTATGGCCCTTTAGAAACACTCTATATAGCCGTTCAAGGGTTAATACTATGCGTGTATCCAATGTTTTATATCCAGATAATCTTACCTTTCAACATCCAATGACAATATAACATATTTTGAGGTTCAACAAAATATTTACAGATCAAACTGTGTTCTCTTAACCTTTCAACATTTAAAACAAACAACAAACTGATAAACAATTTGTCAAGAGAAAATAAGTTTGAGATTACAAGAGAATGTTGTCACATTTGTATCATAGAGATTTTTACTTATTTATAAAAGGTGCAGGTGTTAAAAAACAAATGAGATGTTAATTTGATAAATAGCTTTTACTATTACCACTGATATATACTTCTATTATTTGGTTTTACAAAAATATCTGTTCAAAGATAAAACTAGAAAATTAACATTACTTGAAACAATTACGAATTTCCTCTAAATATCAATCAAAATTAGGATTAATACTTAACCTTTTCATTTTGTTTTTAAAGAATAAGACACAAAATAGAATATACTGGATACCACCAGTTTACATTTAGTAATTATTAACTATTCAAAATTATACCGTAATTCCCTAACAATGTGTTTAACTAATTTTTGTACTTGACAGTACAAAAAGATGTTGCTCAAAAATACATGTAACGTTGATGAAGCTCAGATATGTCAAAAAGGCATTTAATCATTAAAACATTAACAAATGTAGTATAAGTGCACCATTATTTAAAAAATAAAAATAAAAACTATCACTTTAAACATCTAAAGCTATACAAAACAGATTTTCCGAAAACAAATTCTAAATTTATTTACAAACAAATATTTGTAAATGATAAAACAAGTATGTAGTCATATATTAAGCCCGTCTGTTCAATTTATACACAGTTATAAACAAATATTACATGTTATACATTGTTTAAGTATTACTTGTTTTATCCTAAACTAATCTCACTTTGACAACATTCAATCAACCTCTGCTACAACTCGAACATCTCGTCTTGTTGTTGCTCAAGTCGCTGGAGAGAGTTGCGTACGCGGCGGCCCTGCGTCATCACAAGCGGCACTTCCCCACTCTGCTGCTGTCTTAGCCGCGACATGGGCTTTCTGCGTACAAACAGAGTCTCCTCTTCTTGGATTCTAAAACAGAATACAGTGTGTTAACAAAGTTTTAAACTCTTAGCGTCCTTCCTTTCCCAGTTCTCATAGATACAATTCTAACTAACTTGGCTTGTCAATTATTAAAATGAAGATGTAAATCATACATTTTTTAATCCTAGAAGAAGGGAGGCAAGGCAGAAACAAACTTTTTGGATCAGCATAGAGCAAGCAAACTTAACGTTAAATTATAGGTCTTTACGGGGGAAAACAATGAAAGTGTTTCCGACAAAAGATTTTTTTTATGTATATTACTGACTTACCCAAATTTATTATTTTATCTTTAATAGCTAAAAGTTGTTAAGCCGTCTCGAGACTCTTTCAACACACTGTATTTGCTGTGTATCAACATCTTTTCAGAAGTTCAAAATAAAAGATCCAGTTGTAAGAAAATAAGTTTGGTACACATGGAATACCGAAAAATAGTTTAAAATCTATCTAGTAGTTTTTGATAGTAGTATCTTGAATCAAGAACATTAAAACAATATGCAAAATGAGGATTTGCTACGAAATCTTTCTTGCAACTAGTTTAACCTTCAAACAAAGAAATTAGAGCCCTGGGAATCAATAAGTATTACTAGATATTAAAAGAGCAAGAGAGTATAGGCCTAATTATAAATCAGTCAAACCACAGCCTCCTCTAATACAAGGCCGCGACGTTCGAACTGGCAACGCCGCACTCACCCGCCGCCTGCGTCCGATACTCGTACTAGGCTATAAACATCAATGGGAGTATTGCTGCTCTGTATCATTGAATGAAAGTATTTAAATTAGATATTTTAGTGGATTTTAGGGTATGGTAAAATAGACAAATTAGAATCTAGGTTTTATTTATTTAGTGAAAAATGGCAACATACCACAATATGTATAAAACTAAAAATACAAACATAATGTTTTTTTTGTTGCATGTATTGTAAGTACGATAAATTCTGGAAATAGATGTACTTTACATATTTCCTTTTTTAATTTGATAATCTATACTATTATATAACAATCTCATGGTGTCTGTATATATGTGTGTTATTCAACATAGTAAAAACTACTAGACAGACTGGGCTTAAATTTTACAAAATATAACTACTATACCAAGAATGATAATACAGTAGGACTAACTTATTGCCACTTCAATATTTGTAGAGACTTGGGATTTGTAGAGACTCATCTAACAACTTGTTCAAATAAAATTAATTTTCAATTTTCAATAGGAATGTTATGTTTTAGTCTACCTGAGGAAACCATTAGTTAGCAACAACAAAATTTGAAGTTTCATTTTGAAGACATACTGACTATAAATAATTTATTTTCTTTGAATAATTACTAAGCAAAACTTTTTCATTTTGTAAACGATTTCAGAAGCTAGGCCTCCATATGGATTTCCACAATATGAATAGAATTTGTTTTATCACATCAACATTCAGACTGGAGTCGGAGACTATGATGCTTTTATTGTTAGATGGTGTAGTACATATTTTTTACTAGTAGGCCTACTTAACAGAAACACCGGTTTATTTCTTCGAAGTGCTAGTTATTTAAGTTATTTTTATCACTTAACAACAGCTTTTATCAATAAGATAGACAAATAAATAAGGAAACGGCATTCTCATACCTAAAACCTCACTTCCCGCGTCTATATTTACACGAATCATTGTCTTATTCTTACATTTTTTTACAAATCTAAGTTTTAAGATTTTAATCGTTTTAAGATGTCTAATTTGACCGAAGAATAGCAGGAAGCCATTGTTGCTTAAGCGGCGGATCACTTATAATCTTAAAACACTGTATGTATTATTAATTTTTAATTGAGCTTTTGTAATTATTCTTGCATCCAGGCACATCACATCTATCTGGCATGCTGTAGTAACAAGTTCAATGTCATTACTAATGATTAAGGGTATTAGAAACGTGATTATGTACGTCGAGTACGCGACTCCTCCATTCACTGTAATGGTAAGACAACCGCGCACCAAGACGCGGATGCGACGTTGCCACTTTTCGCTCGCCGCGGCCTTGTATTAGAGGAGGCTGTGGTCAAACCCATTAAAATAGAATAGTGATTATAATAATAAGGGGATGTTTACCATTTTTTTATTCATGAGTGGATTAACCTTAATGCGGTTAGGCCCTAAACAAAATCACCAAAAAATGAAATAATATTTTGAAAGATAAATGTACAATGTATGACAACCGAGATGTTAAGCCGTTATAGAGTTGCCATTGTTTACTTCATCTACCATAAATCGATTACAACCAATGATTTGTAAGTTAAATGTTCAGTATGTTTTGATTTTTGTTATTGTTAGGTCTACACAGAGGCTCTTCAATAATTTTTTATTATTAGAGGTGTGTGAAACAGAGTCAAAAGGTATGTACAATGGATTTAAAATGTTTTATTATTACCTAAACCTGTATTAAAGCTTAACTAAACATCAAAGTCAATATTAGTTATTTCTATATTTAGTTATTTGGCAAAAAAACATTACAACACACATAATCAATTCTATTTTGATAGTGTATAAATTGCACTACAAAAACAATAAACAAAAATCTAAAAAATATTTTTCCAAACAATGTTTTGTTACTTACTTACTGTTTCCCTGTGCTAGCATGACTTGACTTCTTGTATTTGCTATTGAACAGTCTATTTTGCAAAGAAAGTCATTGTAACTGCTGTCCGAGTCCACGCTATTGTTATTGTTTGATATACTACTGGGCGAGGATAAACTACTGTCTCCTAGTACAATTTCACTTGGTGAGGAAGCCCCTTCGCTGTGTACAGGCACTAAAAGAGTTTCACGGAGAAACAAACTGTCATTGGTCCACAAGCGGTTAGCTCGGCGTATCTGTTCAGTCTGAAAAATTAAAACAAAATTAAATACACTAGAATGATTCTAATTCTAATATTTTTTATTCACTTAATATACATTCTATACAAATTAATAGTGTCAATGTTTAGGCCTAGTGACTGAGACTCAGGATGGTTAAAATTTTTTCAACATATGAATTACCATTACGTTTAAACACAGGGTGATTCTAAATTATTGTTACACTTTAGAAACTCAATAAATGAAAAACCATACAATCTACGAGAATGATCAATGATTAATGAGGATGATTGTGCCATGTTTTACCTGGTAAAATACCAACAGGGTAAATTTTATTATGAGCTCTTTTTTTCATTTTAATTTGTATAGGCCCTAGGCTACCTAGAACTTATTTTTTTTTTTTTTTTATATAGCCTACCGTATCCCAAAAAAGATAATGTTCTTAATTTTTTTATAATTTTTAGCATATTTCCTATTTAAGGCCTAGGGAATAAGCTATTACCGTAGGTCTTATGGTAAGACCTGGACCCGGGACCAATTTAACTTACTTTTTCGATTTGAGATCCCCAGAGGCCAACCCTACACCGTCCGAGGAAATTCATATATATATATATTATATCTATATGTGTGTCTGTAGGTAAGCACGATGACTCAAACAAAAATTATCCGAATTTGATGAAATAATGCGCTCTCATTCTCAAGATAGTGTACATTTTCAGTAAAAAAACAAACAACAAATATTTTTTAATTTTAGCAGAAAATTTATTTATAGTAGGGTTTGTAAAGTAGGCGGGTACCTGTTGGCACAAACAACCGAATGAAAATATCGATCGATTAGATAAATCGTTCGGTTATAGTCCTCGCCACCCTAAGTTGAGGCAGCCAAAGGCCGCACGGCGTATGTCTAAGTGCGGCCTTTGGCTGCCTCAAGTTAGGGTGGCGAGGACTATAGTTAGGTAAGATTAACCTAACCTAACTAGTTAACCAAACGATATATCGAATTAAACAATCGAATAATCAATATTAGGTACTCATTCGGTTATTTGTGCCAACAGATATGAAAGTGTAACCAAAAGTAGACTACAAATGTGATATAACTTAACTCTAAGATTAAAACATAAGTTTTTCTAAAATTAAATGCCGGTAGGCCTAAGTTATATAAATATTTCACAGTCTACGGACGTGAAACAATCACCCACGGATGTGACACAATCTTTGAGGAATTTCAATAAAACAACAGTAGCCTACAGTAACTGAGGAAATTATTTAGATGGGGGTGACCAAGCGTTCTATAGTAAGTTATACATTGTATATACTTTCAACTAGATTTTTACCTGAAAATAATGGTGCAAAAATTTTTCTGCTGCCACAAAAACTGAATTTACTACAATTTTTTGAAGTTTATTACTGTAATGCCTCTTGTCGGCTGGTCTCTGTCACCATAACTTTACTGTGAATTGACTGACCAACACAAACTAGTGATGTGCGATACGTAACGTATCGTATCGGAATATCGCGATACGCGAGGGACGATACAATATTTCGATACGATATTTGAAAAACGAAACGTATCGTATCGCCTAAAACGATATTTGTCTTTATATCGGCACATAGAGCGATACGATTCATGTCAAAACGATATTTTTAAGCTTTTTTTGCGCAGGCCCCCGCAGGCCGAGCAAACTGCAAAATCTGTACTCTGTGGATGTGTGGTTTGAAATCATTAGCTCTCAGTGTTTGAAAGTGGTTTGAAATAGGAGTTTTTGACGTCTGTATTTTTGGTTTTTACTTGTTAATGTACCAGTCCCATCCCAGTCCATTTCCACTAACGTGCTATCTACTATATAGCAGTAGGAGTAGCACTAGTAGTGCAGAGTGTTGGAACTATCTGTGGCAATTACATTAATGTATCTGCAATCCTAAAATGCTATCGGAAGGATAGGGAAACAGGTCCAAGTTATAGAGAGTTGTGAAGGAAGTAGTTAAGGCGAGCAGTGTGGAGTGTGGAAATGGATTAATGTATCTGCAATACTAAGACTGTTTTTAGTTTTTAGAGTAAACTAATGACTTTCCCCGAGCAAAGCTTGGTCCCCAGGTACTTATAAATTTGCCGTTTCTAGGTTAGGTAGGGGAGGGGGGAAACAAAACGATACGATACGTATCGTTTTTCGATATTTTTGACGATACGATTCGCGTATCGCGATACAGACGCCCGATTCGATACGGCGATACGATATTTTTTCCGATATGTATCATATCGCTGTATCGCGATACGCGTCCGTATCGCCCATCACTAACACAAACATGAACGATTGAAATTGAAAGGATTGTCTAGGGAAGAAGAAGAAACCTAATATGACAAAGAGTAAGTTTATACAAAGAGGACAAAGAGGTAGAGGCATTTATAAATTCAACTGAGCGTTGATTATGAACTACTTCAGTTATTATTTAGACATGTGAGGTGGGTAGGTTGGGTGTTATACGGACTCGTGACTGTATTAAGTGTTTTGAAGTTAGGTTAGATTAGGAAGGTAAAGTTAAGGTTATAATGAATCGAGTTGTTGATTTATATTATATCCAGACTGTTTATGCGCCTTGTTAAAAGTACTACAAACACATAGCTGCACATTTTTGAAATTATTATTTATTGTGTTTGTAGTACTTTTAACAAAGTGCATAAACATTCTGGAGATAATATAAATAAACAACTCGATTCATTATAACCTAAACTTTACCTTCCTAATCTAACCTACCTTCAAAGGACTTAATACAGTCACGAGTCCACATAACATCCAACCTACCAACTTCACATGTCTTTTTCAACCTATAAACAAATTTTAAACTGTACGAGAAGTTTGGTTAGGTTAGGTTAGGTTAGAATAGTGTCAATTTGTTGTTTATTCATTTTATTAAAACTGCCACTACACTATTATCCTCATGGGACATAACGGTTACATGGTCAAAACCTAAGCTAAGCCATTCGGTTAAGTGAAGAGAAGAACTAAATGAATTCCTTCTTCAATTTTCATAATCCAGTCCCCAGATTAAATATGTCCGAACTAGAGGTGTTTATTAATGTTAATTAATTTTAATCAAATAATACATAAGTTATAGCCTACTTAAATTAACATAATTACCTTTCTAAGTGTGGGTTGTGAGGGTAATATTTACATTAAGTAAAATGGCATAGGCTATTAATCAATCAATAAATGTGAATTGTGCTATTAACTTCGATTTTACAGTGTAAACATTGTAGGCTAGTGCAGATTCAATGTTCCTAATAAAACATTAAAATAAACTTCAAAAAATTGTAGTAAATTCAGTTTTTGTGGCAGCGGAAAAATTTTTGCAACATTATTTTCAGGTAAAAATTTAGTTTCTAATGATAAGTTATCCTATAACTAGGGGTCTCAATCCCGGGCCTTCAATCAAATCCCGGGATTTCGGGATTCGTCTCAGCCGATCCCGGGATTATATAATATTATGATTTTTTAACTTTTTAGCCATTTTAAATGAGCGAGAAGTCCCCTCGTTGAGTACTTTAATGTTTTAAACTGGCCTTTCCAGTGTTAACTTACACTGCGCAATGTTTCCGTTTTCTAAGTAAATAAATATTACCACGCCGAACTTTCATCGCCCGTATTTCTTATTTACAGTGTATAAATGTGGATATGTCACTCTAGAATATAATAAATACACTAAAAAAAATCACGAGCAACCGCACTCGCACGTAGCCTAGATACGTCACGCTAATAGATAGATTAAAGATAGCTAAGAGAAAAAGATAAAATGGGAAGAAACACGAGTAGCAGCGTAAAAATGTTATTTTGACTGACAGCAATAAATCAATATAAGATACTGTAAGTAAAAGAATAAACCATCTGCTTATGTAGGCCTAGTAGCGTGTGTATGAAAAACGTAATTTTAGATTGTAAGAAATTTAATCACCACACTAATAACCAAATGAGGAGATAAAGCTATAGACCCTAAATATAAGCAATCTTAATACTGTAATGAGATTATAAACGTGTGTTAATAGTTATATTTTATGGCATCAATGAAAATAATACTTAAATTTCCGATTGCAATGTTATGTTTGCTACACGAATTGCGTTGTTTACGTTTAATGTCAACAGTAAAACTCAAAATAACTTGTAGGCCTACTGTAATTAATTTCTAACTAATGTAGGCTAATAACATTTACAGAAAGTAAATCCAAATCGTCTAAAAACTGAAACATATATTTGGGCCTACATTCGTTCGCCTATTGAGTTTAATGATACCTAATTAAATTTTCCAATCAAAAAGATCCTACTTATACCATTTCGTACTTAATCGTCCTAAAAATAAAGAGTATATGGGTTTCAAGTGTTATTGGAATATTTTTATTAGGCCTACTTTTTCCTCAAGTAAAAAGTCCTAAGTTAAAATTCACAAAAAAATCAATATAAAAACATAGGTTTGCAATCCCGTTAATACCGGGATTAAAAGCCACCAATCCCGGGATTTCAGGTATCAAAAATCGGCCGGGATCCCGGGATTGAGACCCCTACCTATAAATTAGGCTACTGTAGAACGCTTGGTCACCCTCATCTAAATAATTACAGTACCGGTAACTCATTGTTTAAGAAAGAAATCTTTTAATATTTTACTGACCATTAGTATAGTAGGCTAGGCTAGCCTACATATGTGGCCTCAATCAATAAGTAGGCTTATAGGCCTACAGCCTAAATTGAAAATATATATTGAGCCTAATGTGAAAGTGTCGAGTTTGAGTACACTTCATTCGATATCCTAGGCCTATCAAGTTTGGTGATAACCTAACCTAACCCTAGGCTAATCGAATGAAATAATCGACATATTGAATAATCTGTACTGTATAGGGCCTATTGATATTTTTCATTTGAATGAGTTTAGGACGTAAACTCAAGTGCAGCCATCCTTTGTGCTATTAGGCTAGCCTAAAAGGGGTACAGTTTCTTAACTGGGCCATGCTAATATCGATTGAAACTATCGATTCGATTAGGCCTAGTAAACTTTCATGCGATTTTTTCACCATCAGCAAGTTTGGTTGGTTAGGTTAGGTTATGATAGTTAAATTTTATAATAGACATATTTAAAAATATCGATTGTTAATCAATATTTTCAATTCGATAGTTTCAATTGATATTAGCATGCCCAGTTAAGAAACTGTACCCCCTAAAAGTAAAATGTTTGCTAGGTTACTTACAGTAGAGCCATATTTTAATGCAATGCCTTGAAGGGTGTCTGTTTTTGACACTGTGTGTTTAATATAATGTTCTGGCCTTTTCTGATGGTAATTGATACTCCCATACTTCTTAAGAGATTTGGCTGATTCTCTTATAGAAATTTTTTCTTCCATTTGTTAAAGCACTGTTATAGGCTCAAAGAACTGCACAAAATCTAATTTAACGACCAGAGTTTGCACCACAGACCTATAGGCCTTTACTTTGGAAATGTTTTGATTGCATTCACATTTCCTTACTAATGTCGAAGTATGGGCCTAGGCTAATGTTGGCGTCTTTACAATGGTGAAACCAAGGCCCAAGGCCTAACTTAGCTGCAATAGGAAAACAACAAACTTGTTTCGATGTGTTGTGTCAGTGTCTAGATTTTTGGGTAGGCCTACACTTTACCATCAACATAGCAACGTAAAAGAACAGAATATTTAGTTACGACCACGGCAGTAAGCATTGTATAAGCTAAGTAGCACGGTAGCAGAAAGCAGACACTACAAACTACATACATGTAGGGTAGGCCTAACCCTCCTCATAACTAAACTGAAAACTGAAACTGAAACACTGAAGAAGAAGAAACCTGAAACGAAAAACGAAACACACATCACGCACGATCACTAATCAAGTCGAAGTCACACCACTCACTTCTCTCTCATCTCACTCACTCCAGTCGTAATGGTTTGAAATTGGGGATTGGTACTCACTGAGCTATAATTCTAACTTTTAGCTCAGTGTTCGTACTGGGTAAAAAAAAAGAAAGGCATTCCGTGGTATTCTACCATGAGCACGGCCACCTTTAACAACAGGCCGCGGCCTAGTAGAATTGGCAACGTCGCAAGTGGTGTTGTTTAGTGACAGACGTCCCATAAGATGACATGGCAGACAGGTGACAACAGCTTATTAATTCGCACTTTATTGATTTAAATTTAAATTTATGAACATAAAGTTACAGTATTAAAATATTGAAAGTAAAACATACAGAATTGAAAACCGAAACAATATGAATTAAAAATCTAGCCTATATCTGCACATTTTAAGCGGTGTCAATATTGTCAGGGTCTGACTTAGGGGAGGTACAAATGAGGCATTTAGTTCAAAATTCCTCCGTGAACAGCGCTGTAGTAGAGAGCACTTTGGCAATGAAGGTTTACTAGTCGGAAAAATAGTCCTGTTCATAAAATAAAATTATAAATGCCTCAAATTCAATTTTACTATTTTTTAATTAAAAAATTAAACCATCATAACCTAACCGAACTAACCAAACTTGCTGATAAAGAAATAATATAACAACAGTTTAGTAATCGGGAAAATAATTCTTTTTATTAAATAAAACTAGAAATTGTTTAATTAAAATTTTATAATGACTTAATAATAAAATTAAACTGTAATAACCAAACCAAACCAACCAAACTTGCTGATAAAACAAAATCTTGGACAAAAAGTTAATGCTACCAGCAGTATTCGAACCCGGGACCTATAGTATATCAGCCCGGCACGCTAACCAATAGACCACCGAGGCCGATGGCTGATGAACGTTTTGTTACGGTAATGGCGTTCCCTCAGCTAATAAGAAGCCCTCAGCTGCCATCTTAGCCTCTTCTATACCTCCCCTGAGTAAATACCATATTGTCATAGTCCAGTAACCAATCTTTCGTAAATACACAAATACCATTAGCTGCTTCCAAACAAAACAGCTGTTACAACACCACTTGCGACGTTGCCACTTCGAACGCCGCGGCCTGGAGTTAAAGGCGGCCGTCACCATGATAAAGGTACGGCAACGGCCGCATTTAACTCCAGGCCGCGGCCTCGAAGTGGCAACGTCGCAAGTGGGGTTGTAACAGCTGTTTTGTTTGTAAGTTGTGCTGTTTTGTTGTTGTGTGTTTTGGATGTCAGTTGTTGTTGTTTGTTTTGTTTGTCTGCTGTGTTGTAAATACTAAAAATTGAACGAAACTATTGAGGTAATTAAAAGAACCGGCAAAAACATAACTGTCTACTGCAAAAGCCACAAGGCAGCCAACGATTTAATATTAAATCAGGACTTGGCCAATTTCAACGTATTCATTCCCTCCAGGAGACTCTTCTCTACGGGAGTTGTGTACGCTCCACTTGATGTAGATGAGGAAGAGTTTTTATGTGAGGCTGAAAGTGAGCATAAAATCACCAAGGTTGAAAGAATTTAAAAAGTGATAAACAAAGAACTAACCAACACTAATTTTTTGAAAATAACCTTTCTGTCTGAAAAACTCCCAGATGAGGTTAGATTTTACCATTTTTTGATGAAGGTGCAACATTATATGATCCCAGTAAGGCAATATTATAGATGCTTCTCCCATAGCCATGTTGCAAATTCCCCTTGCAAGAAACAACGTTTATGCAGGGACTGTGAGGATCCATTCCATGAAGGACCTTGCACAACTGCTGTAAAATGTGTCAATTGTGAAGGAGAACACTCAAGTAACTCCCGAGACTGTCCAGAATATAAAAGACAGGTACAGATCAAATCCCGGATGAGCCTAAATAAAGAAGATTACTTCACTGCAAGCAAGCACTACCCTATAATGTACAAAAAATCATACACAACAAAAAACTTTGTAGTCCCAATAAAGACATACTCTGAGGCCGCAAGAGTCATCTGCGACCCTTCTGATGATATTGGCTTCCCTAGCCTAGCACCTCCTCGTGTAATGAATTTTGATAGTGGAAACAAATTTAATTTTCTTCCTAAGATTGCGACAGATGAAGCGACAACCAAGATCAATCCAGGCCTTATAGAAATAGGCCTTATGAAAAATCCGCAAAAACTACATCGCAGGCCTAAGGTCCTTGGTGAGCATTCATATGCTACTAAAAACCAACCAAAATGTCAGTTCCCACCTAATATAAAAATATCCGCAAAAAAAAATAACAATCCCCGTCTTACCAGAGGACAGACAGTGGCTTTTAAGGAAAATAAGAGCTAAAGTAGAGGAATTAAAAAATAACATATCAGATACATGCTCTAAAAAAACATAGAGCAACTTCTTGATACATTTATCGGTGACAGCATATTTTCTGAAGATATAATATCTGCTAACCTTAAAGATAACATACTAAGTGATATTAAAGACAATGAGCCCCCTCCTGGTTCAAGTAAAGGAAGTTTGTAAACTTTCACCACACACAAAAGACCATGACAACCACGAATCCATTCAACATCATACAATGGAACGCCAGGTCATTAGTAAATAAATGGCCGGAATTTACATGGCTGCTTTATGTGAACAACATCCACATAGCAGCCATACAAGAAACCTGGCTTACAAAGCATGACAAGCTAAAAGACCAAAATTATAACTTTGTCAGAGATGATAGGCCTGATGGATATGGCGGAATAGCATTTATTGTACATAAGGATATTACTTTTAATGTGTTGAGAATCCCAGTCACAGAGAACTTACAAGCTAGCGCAATACAAATCACCAACTTTATTAATCCAATTACTCTTTATAACCTTTATATTGCCCAGATAACAAAATAAATTCTGCATTCTGGTCTGATATTCTATTGCTCAATGACACAGGGTTAAAAATAATTTGTGGTGACTTCAACGCTCATCATACATTCTGAACTGGGACAAAATTAATCCTCGAGGCAAGGAATTGTTTGATGCATTCAATGATTCCCTCTACATTTTGGCCAATGACTGCTCCCATACTACTATACCTACTTTATACTGGAAGTCATCAACCATTGACCTTACTTACATAACTCCAGATTTATACCTGATTCTTAAAACCTGGAAGGTGGGGACGGACCCAATGGGCAGCGACCACCTCCCCATTTTTATTACTTTTGACACTACATCTATAACAACTAAAAGCTTCAGAAACAATAGGGGAAACAATGAACGAAATGTTAAAAAAGCTGACTGGAAAAAATACAGTAACATAATTGAGGATGAAATTATAAATGAAGATCTAACATCAGTTGATGTAAGCCAACTTTATTCTTTGATCAACAAATCTGCCTATGTAGCTATTCCAAAATTTAAATCAAATCACAATAACTTTTCAGTTAAATCTTGGTGGAATCCAAGCTGCTCCAGAGCAGTTGCTGAAAGGAGACTAGCATTTAAACTATTTAAAATGAACATGACTGCCACGAACGATAACAATTATCAACAAGCACAAATCAAGGCAAAGGAAGAAATAAGAATGGCTAAGAAACAGAGTTGGGAAATACTCTGCAAGGACATAGGGAAAAAAAGAATTCCCATTATGCTTGGAAAGTAGTTAAAAAATTAAAAAAATAGCGATACGTATAACAATGAGGTGAACACCATGCACAAAGACAAAGAACTAAGAGAATGCATCATAAAACAATTAGCTCCAGACTATGTACCAAATACTGTATCCATGAACTTAAAATGTTTATTAAACCCAACTCACCTAAACATTTTTGGAAGAAGCATTCGTATTTAAGGAACTCCAACACGCCCTATCATCAAAAAAGAAAGATACTGCTCCTGGTAATGACAACATAACCTACAGCATGTTAAAAAATCTCCCTGAGAATGCCCTAATCTTACTTCTCACTATTTATGATAAAATATGGAATAGTGAAATGGATCTACCTGAACAATGGAAACAAACCAGCATCACAGCTATACTCAAACCAGGGAAGGAAGTAAACAATGAGGATTCCTACCAACCCATTTCATTAATACCTTGCTTTATGAAACTTTTTAACACCATGATTAGAAATAGGCTTGAATGGTTTATAGAAAAAAAACAACCTCATCCCTGAAACACAATATGGATTCAGAAAAAGGAAAGGATGTGCAGACTGCTGAATTTTTATTTCAGGATTAGTGTTGCCTACAGTATTATTTTGAGGCTTCTGATTGGCTGAGGGAACATCATTACCGCAACAATACGGTTGATACCAACGGCCTCGGTGATGTAGTGGATAGAGTGCTGGGCTGATGATTCGAAGGACCCGGGTTCGAATCCCATCCGTAGCACTATTTTTTTGTATTGGATTTTTTCGTTATCAACAAGTTTGGTTGGTTTGGTTAGGTTATGACGGTTTAATTTTATAATTAAAACATTATGAAATTGAATTTGACCCATTTATAGTTTTAATTTATGAACAGAAATATTTTTTCTGTTAAACCTTCATTTGATTTTTCATTATTAGCAAGTCTGGTTAGTTTGGTTAGGTTATGATAGTTAAATTTTATAATTAAAAAATTATAAAATAGGATTTGAGGCATTTATAATTTTATTTTATGAACAGAACTATTTTTTCGATTAATAAACCTTCATTAGATTTTTTCATTGTCAGCACGTTTGGTTGGTTTGGTTAGGTTATGACGGTTTAATTTCATAATAAAAAAATATAAAATTGAATTTAAGGAACTTATAATTTTATTCTATGAACAAAAATAATTTTTCAATTACTAAACCTTCGTAATAGTCAATCAGAAGCCTCTAAATGACACTGTTGGCAAAATTAGTCCTGAAAAACAAATTGTGCGTGCAGACTACCTTATTTGTAGTTGTGCACTAGCATCAGCTGACT